ACCAAATCTATTCCATTCAATTCTGAATCCTTCATCCAAATCTCATTCAATTCACAAAAAGGATTAGATCAAGCACTTCAAATCTCAATTCAAGATCAACATTTCTCCAATACCAAATCCAATCATGAAACCAATCAATTTATCAACAACATCATTGCTCTCAGAGATGTCCCTCTTAATACTAAAGAAAGTCTCATAAGATCTGTTTTTTCCAGATTCGAACATATAGTGGAACTCCGAAAAAAAATTATTAACCAATGGCAGTATACAATAATCCGCTACTCCAACATAGATGAAGTCAACGATGTATTATCACACTGGTTCATCCTAGTAGGCAATGATCGAGTTAGAATTCTTTCTCTCACCAATCAATACCAAACTATAATAACTCGAGAGCGTTACAAACTTAAACTAATGAACTTACCATACGGATGCATTGCATATGAACTAGATGAATTCCTCTCATCTATAAAAGCCAGATCCTGTTTCATCCCAAGATTACCTGTCAAATATCAACGACAATGCTTCACTTGGATCCTCTTCGAATCTGAACTGGATGCTGCATTCGCCATGCAACAACACGTTATTCTCAAAAATTCGCAACTAAACTGGGAACTACCTACAGCTATCACATGCAACATGTGCTTTAAAATAGGACATCAAGCTTCAATTTGCAAGAGTAAATTGCACTGTTTCATTCAATACAAACAACTAAACAAGTTATATCAAAAAAGAGGATTGGAAGTTCGTAAACCAGAAATCAGTATACCCACTCCTACAAAAAAAATCATACAAACAAGCTCTCTTACAGAATTCATCTATAATTTCCAAAAAAACAGAAAGACAGACTAATTTCTCTAATAACACAAAATCACCTACACTACGTCCTTGGAATTAAACAAATCTTAATAACTTTCACAATACTCCTATTGATAATTCTTTAAACTCAATCTCATCTATTCGTAATGCAGTCACTTTACTTAGAAATGATGTCAACAACATCATGACAAAATTTCAACAACTCGACTCCAAGCTAGATAAAATTCTCAACACTCTCATTACTCAAATACCAAGTTCAAAAACTTCTACTCACACACAATTTGATGATACAACTGTCTCACATAATCATAACGACAACATCAATGACATGTTCATGCAGAATGACGAACTCATTGATAATACCATCAATACTCCTCACAAAACTCTTCATTTTGATAAGCTCATCAATTAACTACATCAAAAAGACGTCACAATTAATGAACTCACAAATCAAAACAAACAGCTCTATGAATCATACAATACTCTCAGTGAAAGATTACTCCAACTTGAACAAAA